ACGATATCTAAACAATCTGGCATAAGAAGAATATCTGGGAAGAACTGCTTCGGACGGACCGGCAGCCACATTGCTCTTCTTGCGTCTTACAGAGAAATAATCCGCGGCACCTCCTTTCTAGCATCTTTGTGCAAACTTACTGGGAAGTTCCCTAAGACAATACCCGGAGAATCACATCACTCCACAGAGTTTCCCTTCTTGAACAGTGGTACTACAACCCGCGTTCTCAAATCCACTGAAATCTTCCTCGTAGCCACTGCAACTTGGCAAACAGACGTAAGCTACAACATGCCGTGTTTGTCTAAAGCGCTATGCATTCGGGACGGATTTCATCGATTCCAGCAATCCTGCTATTTTTAAACATGTCTGTTATTTCATTTACGGAAACACTAATATCCGTTGCCTGCTGATCTTCAGGCGAGTTTTAGCGCGGTTGCCCAGGGACATAGAATTCTTCAAAGCATTCTCTCCATCGCTGAAGAATGTCTTCATCCTTGGTAAGAGGGCGTCGAGACTTGTCCTTCAGGATTCTTAGACCACCCTTCTCTCCATCTCAGAGGCGGCGGGTGGGGGGACGGCGTGTCTGTCTGAAATCATCGAACGAAATCATGAACTTTGAAACCGATATTTATGACGAAAGTTTCATATTGTGATCACAGAGCTATCGAGCGATGTATATCGTGAAGGATTAAATCAAGTAACTGATACAGATGACCACCCACAATTATATAAACTGACTCCTGGTAAAATGACTAGGCGCTGACTCTGCGACCCCGAGCAGTCACCACAAATCATAAAATGAAAATCATTAAAATTAACAGTTTGACAACGGCATCGCAACGAGCTGTCCACTGATAGGCAATGAAGGATGAAGTTAAAATAATTTATTCAAAAGACCGTCTGGCAACGACATAAAATCAAAATCGGGATCGCAGACTGCGAGCTGACAAAATGATATCGCGCAGCGTCATCACGATGGAATTGTAATAGGAAATTCGCTAGGCTGATAATGACTTCATGCTTCGCTCACAGACAGCTGCCCACTGATATATAAGATGATGGGCCGATTCACCTATCCGATGCAGCTGACCACTGTTCAGTTATACAGATTTAATGCTGCGGCCGCAGGGCCGATCGTTGACAAAAATCAGCGGTCCGCGCCAAAACGTCAGCGACCGGGCGAGAAGCGGGCACCGATCGATGAGCGAAATAATAAGCAGTTATAATACCCTGGAGTCGTCAAGTCGTTGAGCAGAAAACTTAAACAGCTATGGCAGTTACAGCTGTTCACCAATCTATTATTTTATCATAAATTTACTATACAGTGTGGATGGTGGACAAAAACCCACTCAGGGATTCACAAAAGTTGTACTCTCGATCAAAACAAAAGGTCATAAAAGTCGTTATTAAATCATAGACAAGAGGTGTGCAGATGCAAACATCCTTCCCTTGATAACTTCAACTAAATTTTTATTCATTAACAAGTCTCAGTAGGACAATTCACTATCATTGAGGTGAAAAACTGTAAGACTTTTGCCGCGACTTTCAAAACTTTCCATAATATTCTCTGCTCGACACGGATGGCATGTAATTGCCGTGCAACTGGAACACGGATCAAACATCGGTAAAACATATTTTCTTGCCATGGCCGGAAGACTATTTCTATCCACTTCCCATATTTCGCGACAGAAACGCCTAAAAGCATGATCTAAAAGTACAAATAAGAAAGTGTTGAATATGGTAGACAATTTCTTTATGCGGGGCACCATATGATTCTTTGGTACATCACACACGTGAGGACAACGCTTAAAACAGTCTTTAATTTAACAAAGCCATCTGACGTTTTGGATCAAGTTCAGCCCATTTTCAGAGTTACAATGAGTACGGAATACAACGCTTTCATGCATATCGCGTTGACCGCTTGATATTTGCGGTCCATGTGTCGCCGACGTCCGTTCCAAGGTTACTACTGATGCTTGCGGGGATCATCAACGCTTCTTTGACTTTGCGGCACAGAAATTGTTGTTTGTGCGCTAAACCTTTTGTTTTGTCCGACGACATGTTATGCTGATAGGTTACAGCACATTCCACGATGGCGGAATTTTCTTGCATTCTGCTTTGATGAGTTTTGTGTTTTTTGTCTATTTCCGCCTTCTGCCAACTTGCTGATTACCATTCTGGCATTAGCGCTCTTTCATCTGATCAAAGGACTCTTGTGGTCTGTCGTCCTTCAACTGCGTTATTCGCTTCGCCTACGTTCGCTGAACTACAGAAGCAAGGGAGTTGGTACACTCAATCGCTTTCCGCTCCTCAGGTTTCTTGGCCTTCAGACGGCTACGTAGAGTTACACCAGATTGAATACAACGTTGAAGAATAAATCGCCAAGAACTGAATCACATTAGATGGACGCTGCAAAGAAACGGCTATTCTACAAAGACTTTTAACGAAGACGTGGCAAGTTTATCAAAACGAACATCTGATAACAAGACCTACATCACCTTGTCATACGTTCATCAGTTGAGCGAAAAGCTACGACTTGCGGCATCTGCGGCCGGACTCAACGGGGTATTCAAGCGTGTGCAATTCTACGTAGCCGCCTCAGGACCAAGAAATTATCATTTACTTTTACTACGATCACTGTCTTCAGGTTTTTTCACTTTTCGACAAAAGATAAAGACTTTCATTTACGGCAAAGTTGAGTCGCAGAAAAATCAGAATGTGGTGTTTCATTGCGAGCGGTCGGTTCCTCATCGCAATGCTGTTTCTAGCGCGCCAGTAGCCGAACAATACATGAAGATGAAGAACGCTATTTGTGGCAATCCAGCTTATGACTCCAGCATGACTCCGCAGATTTTAGCCATTAAAGCAGAATCAGAAAGTCACTGACGGTTTGGCTGTTACGACAGTTACAGTGCTATTTTGCATAATCATTTCGGCTTAGAGTTCGGCAGAGAACACAGAGATTCGGATTCGAAACCCGACCAATTCACTCGCCTTTCTTCGTCTGAGTACCTCATCGTGGAAAAGAAACAGAAGACTACACGATGTGTTTGCCACATGGTTGCTGCCGACTCTGCCTGTAAAAAATAAGGCAATTCTGGCTGAGGGTAAGGAAATGGAGATCAATATCACACCATCAACTTCCCGAAATGGTTCCATGATGAAACTGTATGGAAAACTAACGTTTCAACGGTTAAAAACTGTTTTCCTCTTACTTCACTCGGTGAAGAAGCAAAACGAAATCTAACGAAGAAGTTATGTGCATGTTCGACTCCCACAACTTCATAACGAAGGTTGGCAAATTTATGACCTTCGCCGTAGTTGATTTCTGGTATTCGGTTCCCACTGGCATCATAAAGACGACGGCCCTGTTACCCAGTTGAACGACTGAAAAACTAATCAGCTGAAGCTGAAGAAAACCATATACCAAAAATGACTCTGAAAAGCGGGAAAGGGGAGAGTTAAACAGTCGATGTTGAATGGAGCTACTCTTTAAAAAAACACAAACCTGTTAAAGTCCGGCGGAACGTCACGAAAATGCGAAAGCAAGCTCTGCAAGACTGCATCGTTTACAACTGCTTCTAAGTTTACTTTCTCCAATATGAGGCTTCTTTTAGCCGCCTCGAACGACTCCACGTCGATTTTATGCGATCCATTGGCCACCTCAGACACAAGAAGCAGTGCTCGCTCGAAAGCCTCGGCCGGTTGCGACGATCGGTGCAAGATAAGCTGCATGGTCTTCGTTTCGACCGTTAGGCATATCTCTGCCCCGTAGGCTAAACCATGGCCTCGGACTGCCTTCCAAAGTGGACCCTAAAAACAAGATTAAACCCTTACTTAAACCGACAAATGCCGAATATCCTCAATATGGCTGAACCCCAGTGAACTGAAACGTTTCAGTGCGGCTGCTACGAAAACGAGGTTGTGTACTGCAACGACAACTAGTGAAACATGAGACATTAACGATAATTTCCACGCTTTCGAATGCAGGCTATTTTAAACGTCTGTGTAGGCGTATTATTTCACCTATCATATGCTCTGAATATCTGAGTGATGAAGTAAAGCCGCTAGTTTTATGAATCATCATGTCGAAAATATCGGTCAGAATCCACGAACTGCAAAGTTCTGTCATGTTAAGGGCTGACTTTCCTCAGCAAGGAATTTTACCTTTACATGTGGTCAGTGCTAGATGTTAACATGTCAGGCAAGAATAAACACCATAGTCTAAAGTTCGTCTGAGCGAAGACAAAAGCGATGACAGTGGTCATTGTCCGCATTCCAACAAAAACTATAGCGGCTTATACAGAGTTGCATTAAGTCATCTCCAGCGCACATACTGACACTCCCCTTACAGTAAATTTTGCCCTTGCGCCACTGCTTCAAAAAAGTGACGGAGGCGGACGCTTTCGTTCAGGTCATTTCTAGCCAGAGTAGAGAAAACTTTAAATGCCATAACATGTAGAGCAGGGGACTTCCGAATTTAAAGAATGGGCACAAAAGCGTTGATTTCGTTCCGATGATGTAGAGCTACAAGCACAGATTGATGTATGCGAGTCAGAAACGTCCAAAAAGAAGGTAAGTCACGCTTACATGCCTAGAACTCCAAAGCGTACCTCGGTTTGGCACAAGTATTGAATGAGGACTTCTAAGGAAGGCAGGTCAGTCGAGTGATAGTCGATGTCTATGACGGACGTGTGATAGAGAAACGCTGATTCGCATGAACCAAGGGCCAAAATGCCGCTGCGACCAAGCACGCTAACCGGCTTCACGAACGTCGGTTCTGTCTGCAGGTGAATCGCAGCTCTGCAACGGAAAAGGCGCATATGTATAATGGTCGGCCAGCTGACGGGATACGTGTCTTCACTGTTGCCATGTCATGGAGTTGGGTGGCGGTGCAAAGCATTTACCTTTTAATGACGGTCTGACCGTCGGCAAACGCTTTTCCCAATTTGGCCATCGGCTCGCCAGACTGCGACAGCAGCTGCTCAGAGTTGGCCGCAACGTGCACGTAAAACGTAGAGGGATTTTTCAGACACTCGCGTAACTCGTTCAGATCCGCGATTATCTAAAGGTAAACGATGCAACTGGCTTCAAGAAAAACAAAGACGTTAAACGTTACGCAACGCCTACCGACTGCGGGTTCAGGTCGAGTTCTCGCAAAAGACGCCGTAGATAGTTTTCAAGCCGCACTACGCTGAACAAAAACGGAACGGAGTTTACTTCCAGAGTGAGGTGGTCAGAAAGAAATTTCGCCATCGCATCGCCGTCTCGCTTCTGTCCCGTAGCCGAGTTTGCCAGCCGTTGGATAACCACCCGAATGCGATCGGCGTCGAATTGATTGTGGCAAACAATGCTACCGAACCACTCAATGGCTTTCGCACAATTCCACGGAGACATCTGCAACACCAATTAATTTACGGCATTTGATTCTAAGAAAATTCTGATCACAAAAAATTAAATAATTCAATAAGACCTTTGCTTCATTAAAATTCATTGGAAAGAAAAAGGTTAAAAGCGATGTCCTACGGAGAGAGAGAACACGGTTAGAGTAGCTTAACATGATAGTTTAAGTCTGTCACACGGTGAATCATAACGACTCCTCAACAATCAGATGCGTGGCTTAAACCATAATTGGTCGCCGTACAGCCGTCCTGATCGACGTTGACCTTAACTGCATGCGTGTTACCATTATACAAGCTCTGCAACAATGACTAGTGCCCAAACTTATTATGCCCGCAGTGCTGATCAAGACTAGGCTATGAACAAAGGTGCTCACTACATTCGCATGATAGTCCCGTCTTTCTTTTTTTCGAAGGTCTCGAATGCCACGACCACATCAGAACATTGTACTATTCCGACTATTCCCAGGTTAACGACTTGCTACCGGTTTCTCGGCAGGTTGTTCAAGGGAATTAGTAGTCAATAAAGTAAACTCTAAGCCATCGCCAAAGTGCACAGTAAGGCTTTGGGTGGCATCGCTAAAGTGCACAGTAAGCTAAGAATCCGTTGCGCAACTGCTCCCCCTAGGACAAATTAAAAGATTTTTAATGTAAAACTGTTCCCATCAAATCCTTAACAAATTCAATCCAAGGAACGCGGAGCACACCAAAACTAGAACACCAAAGGCAGGAAAAGAAAGAGGGAGAAAAGGGATTCTGAATATACGAGAATAAGTGTCGGTAAACAAGACAATGATAATCCGAAACTGACAGATGGTAATGCGCTTTGAAAGAAGACACTCAGCTAAGAAACACAGAAGAGAGCACTGGGAAACATAGACTCGATCAATGCCAAAGGAGAATATTCTGAAACCGTTTCATTACACTGCTTACCGTCTGAATGGGCGTAAGAGTTAAAAAATCTAAATGAAAAGGATCGACCACATCAGGAAACACAAACAGAATACCCTTCAATCTAATGAACGGTGAACGTCGCCTAAATTTGTATATCGTACTCGTCAACAGAGAAAAAATTACTGCTAAAGAAATCGAAGAAAATGCAACAGTTAAAGCTTTATTACAAAAATATCTATAAGGATGCCGATGCTTTTCAGTCAGTGGATCGACTATAGAGGTGACAAAAACAGAAAACAGGCGTAGCAGAATTAAAGTCCTATTTTAAAAAATAACTGAAAGAAAAACGCCAAAACTACAAACATGCTGTTTACCGTAAAATTGACTGAAATCATACGCCGGAAAACGGAGGAGATTCCAAGATGAGCATCAAATGAGACTAAATCACCGGTAAGTGCGTTGACGACATCTTCGAAAGGAATTATTTCTAAAATGGAGAAACATTAGCTGCCAGCCGGTGCCTGCAATTACATCGCGTTTAAGGAAACAGAAGCAACCAAAAATAGTTTTAATAATCAACTGAAAACGCTGAGAAAACCAAGAGGTGCAATCTATGAGATGGACATGCTGTCGCGAGGTCAGTAACCTTTAGTGCCCAACTGCACAAGGATACAGTCATAAGTCGTGGGCCATGGCTGGGAAAACGTAGGTGCGTAGTACAAGCGGCGGAAATGAGCTCTCTCAGACGAATCACCGGGCTCGTGCATCTCGACACACGTTAAAATACCTGAGCAAGCATTGGTGTACAACCGCTGCTTATACAGGCTGAAAAATTGCAGCTGCCAAGGGTTGGGCACCTGCGAATGCTTCCTGAAAGGAAGGCAATAAGGAAAGTACTAATTACTCAACCGATCGACCGAAACCCCGGGAATGGTAAAGAATAGCCTAGGATAAGTGCCTCGACATACCCTACTGATGCTCAAACGCTGGAACGTTGGCACGTTTGATACACTGTCTCTGGGATCTCCCTACCAGATTCGAAAGGATAAGCGGTCATGAAACTGACATGCTGACAGGAGATCATGCGATGCAAATAAGACAGCAATTTAGTACGGTTATTTTTTCGAGGCAAGGTCAAATGCTAGGCAGTAATAGTGAGTGTTCAACCAGTGGAACGGCTTCAAGATATGTTAGTTAGCTGGTACATAAACGACAAAATTGACGAATAAGTGGAGCAGAAAATCTAGGGAACACGGCGAGGATGCCACGATTGACTGAACTAGGCGAAGTCTTTTAAAAAGAAAGCCCCATAGCCCGATGACGGCAGGGTGACTTGACTAGTGTATGAAAACGAAATATGCTGTTCAACTGAAAGAAAATCATAATCGGCACAAAGCCAAGTCCAAAAGTCAGATTTTCGTTACACCATTTTGTCATTGCTTCGTTGTAGTTCTGGGTCATAAACAACAAACAAGAAGCAATCTGAGTTAAAAGTGCAATACTATCGACTGTTGAACCATATACATTCGAAACATTCAATGCGAGAACTAATTCGGCGTTTCAAAAACCAACATCTTTAAGGACTGTAAAATGCCTAGCTCAGTTGGCAACAATATGTAGTGGAGACATTAACTGTTGACGAAATCTAGTTGGACGTTTTCAATGTCATCAACAAGAAATCTGTTACAGTTATGTTTTAGAAAAAAAATTTCTATCTTCAACCATACTTGAAGAAGGCATGGAGAAATTTCCAAAGAATAAGCAGAACTTCACTCTAATCATCTAAACAGTTTATATCTCAACACTCTTGCTCATAGATGCCTAGGCAACCTTTCAAACTAACCAAGGCGGCACGGCATGTTAGCACGTTTGTGTATTGATGCATCTCGCGCTATTGCATTAGCTAGTGCACTACCAGGCACCTAACTCATGATATTCTACAAAACCTAGGCGACCCCTCATACTAAACTAAAAAGAAGGTTCAAAAGGCTCTGAACCAATAAAATTTGAAAATAAACAAATAAAGATGTTTTATGTCATCGGGATTGCAAAAGACTATATAGCATTTCACCAAACCAAACGAAGAAGCGATGATACCTCTCCTTATGAGCTAATTAACTTCACCATAACCGGTCAAGAATCAACCCGAGCAAGGAGAAACCAGAAAGTTTAAAACGCTGCTGAAGTCTTTGAGACTGTCCATTGCTTTCCTACTGATTGCCCATTACTACCACAGTTAGCACGCCATTTTCACCAACACGTCTCCACCAAGTTATCAGGGCTGACTAACCAAAAACAAGCCACCACATAATAACATTGGCCATTCTTTACACTGCGTTTACTGCCTTTTGTGATTCCCCAACAGTGTACCGCAAAGGTCCGGTAGAACACTATCCTGCTGCAGTAGTACTTCTTTCTTCCTCGGCAAAGCAACTCATGGTTAGTTACAGCTTCTGCGCTGTGTTACTCTTTAACAGCACGAGATATTCAGGAAGAGCGTGGGTCGGCAGGAGCGTAGTGAGCTCTAATGTTACTCTGCAGGTTAGACAACGGGTTCCAGTTCTATGCGCGGAGGGAAATTCTAAAACTGCCAATTCCGCTGAGCAAGGTGAATCTATCCCAATGGGCTTTGGTGCAACCAGTCGGAAAACGGGAAGAAAGTCGCTGAAATATTAATACAGTGCAAATATTACTGACGCTCTGGTGTGTCATGATAGCGCTGGCAAAAATTACGACCATACTGTCTGATGTGCGTGCGCCTTCCGGCAACAATTCGTCGGACCCACCAGGTAGACAATGATGACTATGTAAGCATAAAATGCAACCCGCAAGTACAAAGAATAAAAGTACAGAAAACAGAATGACCGTAAGAATTCATATTTTTTATGTTTATGCGAAAGAACTTATGCCAGTTACTGAAACATCGACTACTGACGAGCAATGTTGTTAGGTAGATCAATATTGTTAGATGGATGTCTAGCTGACCGCCATAGCCAATGAAATGTTGCAATATGCATCTGTGCGATGAAAAACCGATGTAACTGCGGTCTGTTTAATTGATTCCTCTGCATCGTAGAGCAGGTAGAGGGTGTCAAAATGTCATAAAACCCGGTTCGATTAGATTTATATACTTACTAACATATTCTCTGATATTTCGCGAAAGCATCTAAGGAGCACTCTATTAAACTACCAGTGGAAACGAGCATGGTATCCCTGCAGCGAATAAAATAATGCGATATACAATGCGTACAGCAGCTGTGTAGACAAAAGAACTGTGGCCAGCCGAAATGCCAACCGAGACACCTAGGATAAAAAGGGTAATGTGATAATACCACGAAAAACACTTAGTGCAATTAAGCTTATAAATGTTATTGTTACAATTACTGATCGTCAACCTATTAAGCCCAGTTACTGCTTAACTAAAAATTGCCAGTCGCACTACTCTAAATTAGCCAATTTTGTTTGCATACCCACAAGTTACATAAAAGTCAGTAGCAGCTGAAAACGATGGGAGGATGGCGATCTTCATCAGATATCTTTGTAAAATTTCTAGCCATTTATGAACATCCAAGCAAGTTTTTACTGATTCGGGGTGGTCTATCGGTACAACAACTAACATCTACCTTTTCCACCGCCAACATTACTGCCGCTGCTCCGTTGATCATCTGCAGTTGTAAGGAACAAATCAGTTTTGCAGGACGAACTTCAGTTTCCTCCTGAATACAGATTCTGATTATTAATGTTTTGCTAGCCATTTCCAAAAAAATTTGCTTTCAACAATGTAAAAATTGCATTCTCATTCACTATTTCTAACTGGTTTCTTAACTGACCTACCACTTGCTGAAAACCACGTTTCACAAAGCATGGCAATGACACTCGTTCCTCGATGCAGAGAACGTTTAAGCAAGGCCATGGCTCAATAATATCTGAGCATATGCAGTGTGGAAATGCAATCTCGCATAGTTTTATTCGTTAGACCATTAGGTCGCAGTTGACAATGATATTGCAGGATCAGACATTCTCTCCATAGCACCTGATACATATGTTCTGCATATTCTCAAATAATGACATTGTAACATGTACAAATGGCTCTCAAAGAATATAAGTTAAGGGGTGCGGCGTGAAGCGCTGTGAAACAAGCTTTGAAAAAGTTATGCGCTTTCAAAATACCTCAGTTCGTACTCATAAAAGTTTCAGTGAAAGTATTTTCAATTTAGGGAACATAACTGATTAATGGATTTTGATGCACGGTTCGAAAACACAAACGTAAAACAGACGGAAAGGTATTACTAACAGTCTACATTTCGTCACCATCACGGGTAAAAGCATTCAGTTCTGTTAATGATACTGTGTCAGAAAACAATAGCGACGAGGAATATTAAAACACTTCTACATCTGAAAATCTCAAGGGTGTTGAACCTGTCGAAAAATACGCGAAAACAACGTTAGAAAATCATTAAGACAGCAGCTAGGTTATCAGAAAAATATCCTTTAAATATATTTGATTAAATACGGTTGTTACATTAATGATGAACATACCTCCATTTTTAACAACGGGCGATTCGAACAGCAACTCCTTCCAGACCAACAGAAGAGGATAAAGTCGTGAAGGCACACGGAAGGCGTCCAAAAGTAGAGTGACCTAAAGTAACGGCGCCTTAGGTACGTTTCGTTTTATAACCTAAAACAAGAACTTGCTACTTAAGCTCTAACATAAAGGGCATCGCCTTTTAGCAAAATGTGAACAAAAGAAAAACAAAATAAATGGGAAGACCCTGGAAAAATACAGACTGCTGCAATCACTAAAGACGGCTCAGACGCTAAAACTAGGTGAAACCGATCAAAACCAGCACAATAAGCAAAATGCCGGCGTACTAATACTTCATCTACTGATCTACAGACAGACGTTAATACATGGAATCAAAATAAGGAAAAACAACTTTTGTTGTGAACCTTAAACAGGAACATAATCTCAGTTGAACAATGCTCAAATGTTATCAGAACTCCAGCAATCGGCAAATGAAAGCATTCTATCCCTTGCATCAAAGAAAGCTGCAGCGCTTGAAAATTTAATTTAATGCCCAAATTAAAGAACCAGCCTCTGAAAGCAAGATCACTTAACCCGCTATTTCCTCAGTGCGCTCAGGCATAGATACCACTTCTCCGGCGGTTTCTTCCTTATCCACTAATTGGTTCTTTACTTCTCAGAAGAAACTAACAATTTCGCTTAATGAAAAAGCGATTAAATCAACGATTAAACGATTAAAAACGAATCAATATTCTATATTCATATCGTTCCAGTATCAACATTATAAAAAGCAAGGATAGCACAAGCGTGCGTTGTGGTCGGACTTGGCGTTCAAGAATACAGTATTTACGTAAACGAAGTTGGTTTGGCAGTCGTCGAAAAATACAGAGAACGGCAAGTGGTTGAGAGGCAGCTTAGCAATGACGTCGAGCTCGGGGGAAGTGTTTGTGCTGGAAACGACTGTGAAAAACTTTATGTCGTCCAAAGAGTTGACAACGCAACGCATTAACAGATCATCTGGAGGCACCGCTTTCTAAAGCACAGATTAACAACCATGACAAGAAAATATCGACCACAATTACAACGGTTCTACCTCATTTTCTTCTATAGCATTTTCGAGTGCTAAGCCACAGCGTTCCAGTCCTTCCACACCAAGTCTCATCATCCGCTTTCGAATTCGTCGAACTTCACCTTCACAGTTTTGCCTAACGAGTGATAAACACGGCTCGCCAATCACCTGCAAACAAACATCTCCAAAGTCAGATCTGCTAACTACGGTTTATCGACAATCCACGGACAAATCTGGGACATGATGAGGACAAAAAGAAATAAAAAGAAAACTTCGTAATAACTGCAATGTCGCTCTCTCACTCATTCATGAACGACACATAGATCAGACATATTTCCAGGGAATGCGTGATGCGGTACTGCTCCTCTCATCGACGCAATCGACTTGGACTGCTTAATTATGAGTGCAAATATTTACAGAAAAATTTAGTCGTTGTCGGACCCAAGCCAGGAGGAGAAAGGTGAGGGTAAGGGACGGTGGCGAGGTCTACGTAAAACGTAGCTATTTGCCGTTCATGGTGTTGCTGTCATCGAATATTATACCGCTGTTCGTCGCCTGAGGCACAGAAGGCCACGCAGGCGTCGTGGGGATGAGGCAAGCTGCGAAAAGTCGGCAATCAGAACCTGTTCTCAGAATTCTTGTATCCGGGAGCGTAGCAACACAACAAAGATCGACAAAAGGACCACAAAGATACCAATCAGCAACGGAATCGCTACTCGTTCTGAGCGGAGAAGGCAGACAGAGCGATGGTATCAGAGCACCACAGAAGCTGTTTAAGACCGGCTTACACAGGGCTGCCGTTGAGTACAACGGCTTAAAACCGGCTGACATGTCGCCGCCTGGAGATCATAAAAGAACTCCCTCATGGACACGGCAGATACAACTACTGCCGCCAAGAAGAAGGTTGAATTCAAGCGATGACTTGGAAGCAAAGAGCTCTCAATTCGCACGCGGTACAAAGAAGCGTGCAAGTAGACGCGAAAGTAGTGGTGAAAGCTGACTGCTAGGAAGTCGATGAGGTACTGGAGTCGAACTTCCAAACAGCAAACAAAGTCTTCTATCTCTGAAGTGAAGAGAAGGGCAGCCATTGGTCTTGAAGGAGAAGTTCAGACGCCCTCTTACCGAGGACGAGGAAGATGATGGTGATAGAGAATGTTTGAGTATTTTCTTAACCCCGCCTAGCAACCGCAGGAACAGTTTGAAGAAGAGCAGAGATACATTTTTCTGGAGATGAAATCACACAAGCTGTGAAAAGCTTCAAAATCGGAAAGGCTGTTGGAATCGATGAGATTTGCCCAAAAATTCTAAAAGCGTTAAGCGAACACGGCATGCATTGGCTTACACGTGTCTGTCAAACTGCACTGGCTAAGGGGAAGATACCAAGGGAAAAGAACACTGGGGCTGTAATACCATATTCAAGAAGGAAGATCATAAGGAATGTCTTAATCATCGGGGCATTAAATAACTGAGCATCTCGGGTAAAGCCTACGCAAAAGTGCTAGAAAGGAAATGCCGCGGAATAACTG